ATCATTATTAGAATCATTGATTATCAGAACTAGAAGGAAACTTATAAATCATCTACTCTCACCCCATTTTTTTTTTTGAGACGGAGTCTTGCTCTGTCGCTGGGCTGGAGTGCAGCGGTGCGATCTTGGCTGACTGCAACCTCTGTCTTGCAGGTTCCAGCGATTCCTCTGCCTCAGCCTCCTGAGTAGCTGGGACTACAGGCAGGCGCCACCATGCCCAACTAATTTTTTGTATTTTAGTAGAGACAGGGTTTCACCTTGGCCAGATGGTCTCGATCTCCTGACCTCATGATCCGCCCATGTTGGCCTCCCAAAATGCTGGTACTACAGGTGTGAGCCACTGCACCCAGCCTAGTCTTATCTCACTTTATAGGTATGTAAGCAGGCCCAAAGACTTAAGTAATTTGTCAAAAGTTGCAAAGAATGCCTGGAGTGAATGCCTAGAGAAGATACTATAACTCAGGTTTCTTCAATCCTAGGCTGTCTGGGGACCTCCCCTAAGAAAAGCACATGGTTTTAATTGTTACCCCACCAAAATACCATTTGAACTATTCTTCTTTATTCTTTTCTTATATATCCAAAGACCCAATTTCAGTCATATTGGCTGGTGGTAGTTCTTCCATTGTACTTTAAAAACATGGTCCTTTCTACGTGCTTTTATCCACTCCCTAGCTACAACGAATACCTTTATGTAAAAGGATTCAGTTCTAAGCCTCTAGTCATGACTTTTCTCCTCATACCCAAACCAACACTGGAATCCTCACTGAGGTTGCAATAAAATTTTTCTCTGCTACCTCTTTTAAGTTCCTCAGTTGGCGTAACAGATCCTCCAGTCAACTTGGGCTAGAAAACTTAGTCACCTTTAATTCTGTCCTCTCTTATTCATGACTCCAAATGCCTCTTCCTTTCAATTCACTGGGATGTTATTTCCTTTCACTTCACTGGGACAGACATAGCCCAGGGTTCATTACTCTCACCTGGACGATGGTGCTTGTATTCTAACTGGGGTCCCTCACAGTCATCTCTTCCTCACACCATCCATTTTTCACAAAGCTCTTCAATTACCTTCTTAAAATACATATTTGAATCTGTCGTTGTTCAAGCCCTCTTGACTTCTCACTCAAACTAAACAGCCTCCTAACTGAGGAGTAGGCGAACTTTTTCCATAAAGGGAAAGACAGTGGATATTCTAGGCTTTGAGGACTATACTCAACTCCAGTGTGGTAACGATAGCGCCACACAGAACATGTAAAGGATAATGGTGGCATCGGCCAATAAAACTTTATTTATGGATGTATCATCTTTATGTGTCAAAAAATATTGTTTTCCCTTTTTTCCAATCACTTAAAAATATAAAAACCATTCTTAGTTATGCCAAACATAATATATGAAGGATAATGGTGACATTGTCCAATAAAAGTTTATTTATGAATGTATAATCTTTATGTGTCAAAAAATATTTTTTCCCTTTTTTCCAATCACTTAAAAAATATAAAAACCATTCAAGTCTGACCCATCAAGCAAAAATGACCCAGATGATGGGTCAGACTTGGCCCATGGGTTGCAATTGCTGACCTTGGCCTAACTGGTCTTCTTGTCTCCTATATCAACACTCAAAGTTCCCTTTCCACACTGCTGTCTGAGTCAAGCTCCCAACACAGAAAGTCAATCATGTTGACACCTCTGCTTAAAATGCATCAAGAGTAAGTTGGAATGGGCAAAACTCCAGAGTGTGGCCCATAAGGCTCTTCTGCCGGGCCCTGCTCCCCTTTCCAGTCTTATCCCCTACCAAACACCTCATCTGAGAGGCAAGTTTATGTTTTCTCCCATCTTTATGTCTCTGCATATATTGGTCTCTCTACCTGGGGTACCCAACCCACTTTTTTCCACTTTCAGAATTCTTACTCATGGTCTCATGAATCAAGATTGTTGCCAAATATCCCCACCTCCCTCACTATCCCTTTTCACCGTCAGCTTTCCCTGATATCAGCTTTCCTTGACTATCGCCTTCACCTCTGCTGCAGAACGGCTCAGTCTTCCCTCCTGTGTGCTCCTGGGATAATCTGCTCTTCTATCATTGCACTGTGGTCACACTATTATATTTGCCTATAGAGATGTAGCTTCTTTACTAGAGTGTGAGTAATATAAGGGTAGAAACTGGGTTTTTTTTCTCTCTGTGCCTAGAACCAAGCAAAGTACTTAAAAAATAGTAGGTGCTCAGTAAATATCTGTTGACTAAGTGAATGTTAAACTCACCAATTTGGGTCCTTTAATTAATACTAAATTTCTATCCTCCTTTTTTTTTTTTGAGGCAGGGTCTCACTCTGTCACCCAAATTGGAGCCTAGTGGCGCAATCACAGCTCACAGCAGCCTTGAACTTCTGGGCTCAAGTGATCCTGCAGCCTCAGCCTAAGTGGCTGCATCTATAGGTGCACTATTGTGCCTACCTAATATTTTTTATTTTTTGTAGAGATGGTGTCTCACTAAGTTGCTCAGGCTGATCTCGAACTCCTAGCCTCAAGTGAGCCCCCGTCTTGGCCTCCCAAAGTGTTGGAATTAGAGGTGTGAGCACTGTACCTGGCCTCTATTTACCATTTTAAAATCCAATAAGGAGAAACACCAGAAAAATGGCAGGTTGTTTTTTTCTTTTAGATTGATCTACAGATTTCTACTATAGTTTTAAAATTTTCTTTGCCCTTAAGATTTGGATGCTTATTTTGTCATTACGTTAAACATGGTTTCCATATTCAATTTTCAACTTTGTTTGGAATATGCCATTTGAAGTGTTTAAGTTGAGACTGTGTGGTAAGGTGTTATCTGTGTAGGAGTTATGTATTTCAGCTGATCTACACTGAAAAGGAACGACACAACAGTTCTCAGTCACACACCTGAGTATACTGAATCAATAAAGCCTGATGAAGGGTAGCAAACTTAAAAAAACACACACACACAAAAAACCAAAAAAGTACTGTATATCAGAAATAGCCCAACAACCAAGTCACACTGTCGGTGCAAAGGAGAGATATAGACATTTCCTTGCATTCTAATTGTCATCTTTAAATTTATGAATGTGGATTTTATAAAACATGAACATAGACTAAGCATAAAATGCTTACAAAAGAGTACTGCACTTAGAAAATAATTTTTATTTCCTGTAAAACTACATTTAAATTTTTGTAGAATTGGTTTAAATAAAGCTCAACAAAAAAAGCTTTCTACGGAACCAAGCAAAACCGTTTTTCTTAAGAACAAAGGAATTAGTTACCACTCGTTCATTTTCAGCAGTTGCTGCATCTTAATATGCTCTGCTTGCAAGAAATTGATCTTGTCAAACAGTACAAATTGATATTACACAGGGAAACTCTCTACGGACTTTGACTTCAGAAATTAACTCTGAATAAGACAGAATGGCAAAAGGGGCAAAACCAGCATTAATATTTATTTACTGAAGCTCAGCCACGCTGAGACATTAAAAGCTGTCCTATTTCTGAGGTTTAGCAGTGCTTAGCACACAAATGGTTGGTTCTGAATAGAAGTCTGACAGAAAAGAAAAACTATTAGCATCACCATGATGAAGCTAAATTCTGAAACTTCTACGATTAAATAACCACAGGCATTAAGCTAACAGTACATTCTCAGTTCTACAATGACAATACCTTAAGCATTAAAAGGACAGTTATTATTCTGCAATGTTAAGCAATTTTTTCTCATAAATGTGTTTCATCTATTAGGATTTTTTTTCTAGATACCATACATGTATAAATAATTTATTTTATTTCTTTCTTTCTTTCCTCTTTCTCTTATTGTTTAAAAGGGAAGATGTCAAATCATTTGGAATATTATCGTAACAAAATGTTTTAAACGAGGTTTGATTTTAACAGAACCAGAGGCATCTTAACACTAACCCAAAACTTTGGGAGGTTCACCAACCTCTAGAATATTTTTTTCTCCAAATGCAGGCTGTTCAAGTGGTGCTTTTCTCCATCTGTTAGCATACCGTGCTCAGAATTACATTGTCATGTTTAATGTAAAAGGGATCAGTCCCCTTTCATAGTTTAAATTCAACATATTACTATGATTGGAAGACCAATGTTTTTCTAATTTATAAACCAAACCGAGTATCATAAACTTACATTTTATTTACACAAAGTTCTCTCTAAAAACTGAAAAACTCTAAGAACTGAGCAACACCAAAGGCTTCATGTGAACATTGAAAAATTGTAATAAAACTCAAAGTGAAAAGAAACCACATATGATAAAGTGAAATATGTACTATCTCTATTTGAATTTTTCTCTCAATGTGCAGTATTTATGAGTGTGTGTTTTTCCAATACAGCAAATTCACAATACTTACAACCCAAGAGTCTTACTGTAATTGAGGGCTGAGCTACATATTTACTAAAGTTGACGACAATGATGATCACATCACAAAGTCTCATGATGGAAGCGAAGTAATCTGAAGCCTCAATGGTGAAAGAAAGCCTGTGTAATAATAATTCGAACATGAGCAGTGCCAATCTATTTCATCTCGAAATTTTACACCTCCTTAGGATGCAGATTCCTTATTTTGTATCAGTTCCATTTCAATTTGCATCTTACAATTTATTTACTTTGTCTCTTTCACCACTGACAGTATTTTATTATTTTCCTAAATAAATTCCTCAGCTCCTTCAGTTCAAGATTTTTATTATACGTAGAATTAGAAGAGGTAGTAGTGGTGGTAGGAGAAATATGTCATTTTGCTTATATTGATAGAGAATCACCTAAATATTTGAGCATTGTAGATGAAAGGTTTTGTAATATATCAGTAATTCCCTGCCACACTTATCATTCACATGTCTGGGTGTTTTGCTTACCACATCTCCACTTTTCTTAATATGCCTGAAAGCTATGTGTGAACTGAATGACTAAGACTAACTCTAACAACTGTTTGGAAGCCTGTGGCAAAAATCAGTGGAATGAAATCGGTGCTATGGCGCATAATGGGATTAGGGAGTACCTGGTGAGGTGCAGTTGGTGCTCGGATTCGCCCAGCAGTTCTGTTAGTTTCAGGCACTCCTCTCTGGCCCGGGCTGCCTTCTGCTGCTCCTGTTCCAAGCGCTGCTTGCTTTCACTCAGTTCTGTTCTCAATTTCTCTATTTCCTTAGGTAGAGAGTAAAGGGAAAAGCATCCATATAAAATATATGCACTTGAATTCAAAATTAGCTCATTTTTATGTTTTGCCATGAATTTCAATGTGATAAAAAATTATTAGGAAATTTAGGCTAGCTTCCATTTTATGACAAAGGGAATTAGCACATCCAAAAATGCACATTAGTGAGGTTTTTTTTTTTTTGGATTGCAAAATAAAGTCTAATTTTGAAAATGAAATGATTAAATGAGAGTATTCAAAGTGGATAATTGCACTACCATTCTAAAAGTCATTCCCTTTTAAAAGTAATATTTACTTAAAATGCCACTACCTTTAAAATGTAACATTTTTGTGTGAGATTCAGACACATGCAGTGATTTACATCAAATATGTACTTTTTATTCTAAAAGATCAAATTATGGCTTCATTCGGGTGTTTTGAAAACCAAATTAAAGGTTAAAATAAACAATTTAAGAGATATTTTAGAAAAATGTGAGGTGTAAGAAATGGCATGATTATAATGTTCAATATTACTTGAAACAAATTTCAGAAAAAAAATAGCATGAGAAATTTAAGCATTGATAATGTATGAGATTTCTGAGCTAAAATAATATTTCCATTTAAATTTGCAATTTAAAAAGTCAACAAGAACACTGTAAGACTAATAAATATGAATATATAAAATTTCTGAAGGTTTATTTTTTGGTTTCAGGATGAAATTATCCTTATCTTACTGAAATTCAAATATTTCAAAGCAAAAATACTCATACAGGCCACAATTTTAAATAATTTATATACTAAAGTAGAAATATTTATTTATTTATAGAACATCTGTAAAATTAAGCCAAAGAAAATAAAAGATGAACACTTAAAAATATTTAGGTTATTAAAACAAGAAAAAAAGAAGAAAGGGGAGAAACATTTTCCAATTCAGCAGAAAGCAAGAAGCAAATTTTTGATACATAAAAATGTAACCTCCTTTTGGAAAACAAAATCATGTTTAAGTAGAGGGATTTAAATTTAGTATTTAAATAAATTTCTAAATTTCTCATGTCCTTTTTCAATATTCTGAATAACCTCCAACTACATTTAATACAGCATGTAGGATAAATTGAATAATTCATTTATACTTTTTCTTGATTAATAAAGTGTAACTATTCAGTTCATCTCCATCAACACCATACATTAACCAACAATATAATCACTTATTACAGTTCTCATAGATTGTTTTTTTAAAAAAACTATGTAATAATTATAACATTTTCATTCAGTGTCAATTTTCTCTATCTTTCATATTGGAATACTAAGTTAAACTGACTGACTTCTTTAAAATACTGTTATTAAAATTTGACCAATATATTTTCAATGTCATAATCCAATACAATTAAAGAGATAAAAATAATAAAGATCATTAAATTTTTATTATCTAACATTTATGAAATTAACAAAAGGAAAGAACTATAGAATTGGAATTATATGTTAACTTTAAAACTTCAAAAATGTATTCATTAATTTTTTTACACAGTGCTGTATGCAAGAAATTGTACTAAATAATATGATGAACTCAGAGTTCCCATCTCTACACTCAGGAGTAAATAATTCATCTGGGCAAATGAGACATATATATACAAGAAGACGATCAAAACGCAAAGCATATAAAAACACCAACTGAGTCATCGAAGATTCATGCCTCAGTAGCCAGATGAGGGATATATTAGCATAAACAAGAAAAGTGAGAAAGAAGTAAGGGCACAAAACTCTGGAGTGATGATACTTCAAATCACATTATGAAAGGTCTAGAATTATAGATTAATAACACTATATTTTTCTTATAGATAATGGGGTGACATTAATGGTTTAAACAGGTAGGCAATATGACAGAAGCTGAGCTTGAGAAAACTGGATCAATGTGTACACTCAACTTAAGGTGGCAAAGAATGGCAGAAGGGAGACCACGAAAAGATAACTGCAGGATTCATGAGGAGTGGAGGGACTTCACACAGAAATATAAAGAGAACATGGAGATTTCATGGAAATCAAAGGAGGGGAATCGGAAGACCAAAGATGACTCCAGAATTCTGAACTGAGAGAATACAAAAGAATGACAGAAATCGAAAATGTATAAAATTTCCAACTTTTTTAAAAAGAAAAGATACAGTTTTTATAAGCACTAAGCAACAATAACAACATATGTACCTTACACTGGTAATTAGGTTTTAAGTATAAATTAGCTTCTTTCTTTTTCTCATGTAACAAAAGGTCAAGGGTTGTGTTCAAAGACAGGCTAAATTCAGAGGTAAAGAACATGGGTCCAACAGCCAACACAAACCAGGGCTCCAGACACAGCTCTGGCACTTTTATGTGACCTTGGACAAGTCACTGGACTATTATACAGTTTCTTCCTTCTAAAATCAGAGGAATAAGAAGCTCTTAAAAACTGTTGTGAAGATTAAATTAGGCTAGGAATACTTAGCAGAGTGCCTCACCATAGTAAAAGCTGAATAAAAGACAGCGATGAGCATTATTATTGATTTTTCCCTCCATCTTTCAAGAACAGCAAAGTGATAAGAAAAAATGGCCCACCTAAGAATATGTGACTATCCCTAACAAGTTCTCAATTTAAATCATAACAATTCCCCCTCCCCAGTAAAGCAGTATTTTGGTGAAAACTGAATACAACTTCTTCTATTGTAGTATTTTTGTTAGGAAGATGGAAAGTTACTGCCTGCTTCTGATCATCCATGCCAGCAAAAGAGCTTATTGGTGCAGATAATCAAAATCAACAAATAATCTAACCAGCTGGACCAGGGCTCAACACTTACTCCCTGAGTCAGGAAAATCTGCCATGGCAGCAAGTCCAACAGTTAGAAGAGAAATCTCTTGCCAGAAATGCCACACTCCCACTGGCAGGATAACCCTTTGCCTCACCCAACTAGGTCAGGCTGCTTCCCTGGCTGTATATAGTGGCTTGGGGATGAAAGACCAACCACAGTCATAGGCCAATTGTACATTACTCTCAAAGCACACTATTAACCTGCATGTCTACAGAGCAGTTTGATGTGGCCAACTGGGCAAAGGCAGGTCCAGATAGCTTTACACTTCATCAAAAGGTATGTTTCAAGTCATGAATATAACCAGCAGAACAACGAAACGTAGAAACTGTTAAAAGAAAACAGTCCTAGGGATCGAATTTGGAAAAGGGGAGACTTGATACTGTTCATATATATTCCTCTACACTGTAGGAAGTCTTTTTCTTAATCATGGGCATATGTAACTTTATTTTTATTGTTGATTAAATTTGCCGATCAAAGAGATGCACCCAATTTAAGTCAGAGTACTAAATGGCCAGTAACAAGGAAGAGCAGTGCCCATGCCCTACCTCACCCATTTCAAACCCAATCTCCAGTGGCACACACCATCAGCTCTTCCAATGTTTATCTTCGTATTTTTAAAAGACAAACTTACACACTATTTGTCAAGTTTTCAATATTAGACCTTTCTTATGTGAAGAAGGGTGACAATTTAGGTCTCATACAACCACCCTACATACCCACCTCATGCTCCCATATAACAATTTTGGTTAAATTATTAGTCACTAGTTCACTTACATTATAATGATTATGAAAAATTTGCTCACTACTGAGACAAGCGTTATCTGGTCTAAATTAATTTTGGGCCAGGCACAATGGCTCATGTCTATAATCCCTGCCTTTGGGAGGCCGAGGCAGGCAGATCATGAAGTCAAGAGATCGAGACTATCCTGATCAACATGGTGAAACCCTGTCTCTACTAAAAATAAAAAAAAAATTGCTGGGTGTGGTGGCACACACTTGTATTCCCAGCCGCTCAGGAGGCTGAGACAGGATAATTGCTTGAACCCAGGAGGGGTAGGTTGTGGTGAGCTGTGATCACTCTGCTGCACTCCGGCCTGGTGACAGAGCAAGATTCCATCTTAAAAAAAAATTGTCTTATGTATAATTTTATTATTTCTAAAATTGCTAGGTTTTTAATAGTTTGTTTTTCTAGGTAACTGACATTTTCCCCCAAATACTCAAACATATCTGTTAACCATCAATAATATCTTTTCAAATAACCTAACATATTAGATAAAGTATAAGTTCTTTTAAAAATTTTTTCCTGGACATATGCTTCTTGGCATCTTATGTATGACCTGGTTGATCTCTATCTTGTGTTAAGCCTTCCCATGCTCTTTTATAGTTCTGTTTTCTGGGTCATAAGTTACCATGTTTCTCAATTTATTTCCTTTTTTGGTTGAAGTACAATCTGCAGGTAGCTTTCATAAGAAAAGTTACACGAAAAATACGTTTTGAGTATTTGCATGCCTGAAAATGTTATTATTGTATGCATACACTTTGGCTGGGTATAAAACTCTATTTTGAAATTAGTTTTCATTCAGGATTTTTAAGGACTATTCCACTGTCTTCAGGATCCTGACAGGACAACTGAAAAGCCCTATGTCACTCTGATTTTTAGTACTTGGTCTATGAATTACCTTTTTTTGTCTTTCTGGAAACTTTTACAGTCATCTCTTTTTCCTTGCCATTTTGAAACTTTACAACGCTCAGTCTTGGAATGCAGCTGTTTTTCGTTGTGTGGAGTATCCAGTGAGCCCTTTTCAATCTGAAGGCTTTGTTTGTTTGTTTGTTTGTTTGTTTGAGAATGTTTTCTTCTACTACTATTTTAAAATATTTTGATGCCATATACTTTAATATTTCCTCTTCCTGGAACTCCAGGACTTAGTTGCTGGATTGATTATCTCATTTTCTTATATTTTCCATTTCTGTCTTCTGATTCTATCTTCTGGAAGATCTGACTGATGAAACCTCCTTTTGAATGTTGAGAAAATTTTCTACCATAATTTTTATTTCTATGAGCTATTTCTTGTCTCTATTAACACTTCTCTACATAGCATGCTAATTTACATTCATAGAATAATTATGAATTATTCATAATTATTCTATGAATGTAATATCTTATTTCTGTATTAGAA